ATGAAGCTTGAAATTAGGTAATCTACTCACATTTTTTTATAATACCCTAATGTATATGACTTGTATTTTTATTTCTACATCCATAGAGGTACATATCATCTTTAATTTTCATCGGAATGGAGTATGTACATTATTTGTTATTTTTTACACAAAAATTTAGACTTATAGACTTTTTTAGTTAGTATAAGTTCTATAGAAGAATACTTGGAAAAAATATTCAAACTTAAAAGGTAAAACTCACTTAAGTAGGAGAAATTGTGTTGTCTTCTTAATAAGACAAAGTTATGTAGAGAAGATGTAAAAACATGCAAATAGGGAAGGAATCCACCCACGGGAATTGTGATTGGGCATATTTCAATGTCAATGTGGATGAGAGCCAGTCAATTTGACCCCCTGCCCAGGCCAGAGAAGGGCAGGACAAGGGCAGTAGAACGGTCAGTATGAAGAAGGAGGGGTTGGAACATCCTCCAGATTCCCCTCCAACACCAGAAACCACAGCAGACCTTGTAACATGCCTTGATTTCCTTTCTCAAAGTTAATCCTTAAAAAAAATTAAAAATTAAAAATTAAAATAAAAACTACTCACCAGTTGTGGGTTAACTGTGCACTGCCTTAGGGCTTGTTGGCCTTTGAACTCACATGGTTGTTTCTATTATCCAGGCATAATTAAGCTTGGGGGGTGGTACAACCATCAGTTGGGTGTGTGTGTGTGTGGTTTATTTATTTATTTATTTCTTCAAATGTTTTTAGGTCAGCCTTGGTCACATGTGGCAGTCAGTCAGTTAGTCAGTCAGTCATATCTATTCCAGTTCTCTGGGTATCACATGAGTTGTGCAAGGCTTTGTTGTGGAGCTCAATCAATGGTGTAAGCATTTCCCTGTAATGCTCTGCAGGTCTTGTACTGTAGAGCTTCAACCAGACTTCCGGTGTTTAACTTGCCTTTTTTAATAAACGAAAATAAGTCATAAGAATAGTAATTAGGTATCCTTTTTTATGAACCTTTTTTCTTTCTTTTGGAAGGACAGGATTCAATTTATTATGATTTAAAAAAATATGAATGATAAATAAACAGAATTTCTCCTGTGAGTTATTGTGTAAACCTGTGCACAGATTGCTAGAGATCATCAAAATTAATCTAATGTATCATCCAGCTCAATGTTTTAAGAGAGTGACATCTCCTGAGCTAAATGACAGAGTTCACAAGAATAGCACATGGAGCAGTAATTTTGTTGGATTTTGATTTGATTTGATTTATTTTTATTTTGAAAAATTGTAACAATATTGGGCCTGCTCCTGCATGAATTGAAAAGAAGAAAGTACTTTTTGCCAAATCTGGACAAGTCAACACTAAGTAAACAAGTTGCCTTTGCCTTGTGTCAATGATCCACATTGTTCACTCATGTGAGGTATGATGCAGCTTCTGTTGAAAGGGACAGTGCCCATGTTCCTATCAAACACCCAAGGGTATCAAAGAGTGATAAGAAATAAAGAACATGGTATCAAAAGAATGAGCATATCAAAGAATCAGAGTATCAAAGAACATGAGTATAAAAAATAAACATAAACTTGGACAAAATCAACCAGGAACCAGCCCTAAAAAATGCCATGAGAAGGGGCACTTTTCTTTGCCCACAGAAGGGATTTCTAGGACATTGTTTTGAGCTACAATATTACATGTAGAAAGGGAACATTTACTCTTCTAGACTGAACAGGAGGGAAATATTTTAACAGCTGAGTTTTCTATTATAATCAATGTCACAAAAAAATAAAATAAACAAAGTGTGTGTTTTTTTAGGGAGGGATTGTTATTGTTTTTTAAAGTTTTTTTCTTTGGGGGTTGGGGCACTGGATGTGGTGGCAGCCATCATGGGCTTTGTCTTGAAGCTGCAACATTGTATTGGCAAGGTGTGTGCATTGGCCCTCATCACCCCTGACTCACTCCAGGCACTTGGTGTGATATTTAACCTTTCTCACTCACAAACACACCCATATCAATAAATAAATAAGTATACATTCATCTAACATTCATGACCCACTTTGAGTTTACCTACAAAAGAAAGCACATTGTTTGGTATAGTTCCAAACAATCATTTTTTCCCCCTTTTTGTTTAATCTTTTCAAACCAAAAACAGAAACCAGCTGCTGCAACACATGAATATGCTTGATCTTGTGCTTAAAAACCATTAGTGGTTGGTGGTGCGGAGTTCAGGGCTGTCGTTATGGTTCAATTCCGCTGTGTGTGATTGAGGGAGGGTGTTGTGTTGTAGAGTACTGGCCTCCAACCTCGTACACGGGGTAACTTGCCGGCTGTGGAAGTGCGTTGCTGCACTGCAAGGGCTGTGTGAGTGTTGCTTGTCGTCTACAGGTGTAAACCCTGGTAGCTTGGACGTACAGAGCCACCACCTCATGGAGTAGTGCACTGTGTCCGCAGAGAAATTCAAATGAGACCCTTGAGGTGGTGGCCTCCCTGTGCTAGAACGTTCAGCATTGTGATATCAATTCTCACATGAATGAAGTACGAAGTAGACCTCAATGCTCTGCTACTCATACACCTACTCGTAACTCTACCAAATGTTTGTACAGTAACTAAAACTGGGCCACCGGGTTCTAAGCTGCACTTAGTTTCCACGGCATATTTGTGCATCACAGGGGGTTCATGTAGAGTTCTGTCGTTCAGTGACCCAATTTGATCTACAACTTTAACAAGATTCTCCGTGAGGTGATATCACTTCTGACCGAGCGAAAACGTCATGTTGTCATGGGCGAAGATGGTACACAAAGTCAACTCATGATATACATATTTTTGTTCTGTTTTATTTTTCCTCTTCTTCCTTACCTATACGTTGCTGATTCATCAACATGTGCAATAGATTGGCAATCTACAAGGCGGCAGTAATGCTGTGGAACGGAAGGGACACTTCCCAGAACTCATCTTATTGTTTCTAATGAAGAGGTGATCATTCTCAATACTTCCACGTGCTCATTCAATTCTATGGGCATGTCTTACCGGAATTTGTTAGAATTATTGGCCAGGTCATCTCCTCCAATCACCTTCAGAAAAAGCTCAATTCTCTATTTATAGCCACTTCACTCCAAATAGATACAACAAAAATTGAATAGATCTCTCAGAAATTCCCTTGTGAATCAGCCCAGAGCGAGTTACGTCTGAAAGCTTTTTCTTGATCCTAATTAAACGAGGATGCGCTTCTGTTTGTGTGTGTATGGATTTATTTTGTTCCCTTACAGTGGGTTTCATTGCTCGATTACAAATCAATTTCCAATTATCTACCTCCACATGTAGATTACTTGCATTCTTCTGCAGTGCAACGCTGACATGATAACTATCCACTGAATCCAGGCGGTATATTACCACAAAGAGTACTGTCCAGAAATTTTACTGATTCTATTTTCGAGGACAAAATTTCTCGAATTTTGATGTTCACATGGAGCCTTGTGTACCAATGCAGTATCTCTGCCAATTCCATGGCAACAGAATTATTTACAAATTAAGTAGTATTTTTCCTCGGATGTTTTTTCCTTTCAGAGTGACGACATGTTCCCAGGAGAAAAACGGTTTCAATATTATGCAGAAGTATAAGCGTCAAGCTCTGAGAATACTTACGAAAATTGGATTAAATCATTTGGGAGCAGAGTGTTGAGCTGGCCCAGGCAGCAGGCAGCTGCTCTCCGCTCTGCTCCGGTAGGGTTGCTTGCAAAGGTGCTGGGTGGCATCATTCAGTTGCATTAACTGCAGGTGTACACTAACACTTCATATAATTCCATCGTGTTTCTGACACCGCTGCAAAAACATTCCCGGAACATGACTCATCAAACCTAATACTCAAGTCATTGCATTGATGTTGACCAAGTATCCACAACCATGCACAGCACTTGAAAAAGTGCTGTCGACTCAGTCCAGAATATTAATGTTGCAGCTGAATCTGTTTTAGCTGTCTCCGAGATTTTTAGCGCGGTCTCAGTTTTCAGGGAGGATCACTGAAATGTGCAAAAGGGTTAGTATGAGACGTCGTGGTGAGGGGGTCGAATGTTGTACGTGACTAGAAACAGCATTTTGGTGCTCAGCTGCTAGACAAGTAGAAGAAGCTAAGAAGGAAATTCGTCATAACTGCTCCGCGGAGCTTTCAAGTGCTGCCGCTTGAACGCCAACTGCAACACTGGAGGTGTCACAGATTAGGCGAGATGGCTATTCAGGGCATTATTACAATGATAGGTAAGTGTGGGTATCCTATTGATTTCGCAATGATCCCTGCTCTTAGCGCCTGGCCTGTCGATGCATCATGGTAAGATCAAATGGAGCAGTGATGCGATCGGATGGAATCTCCGTTGCACATGCGGGGAGGAGTTTATCTAACAAAATGAGTCGATCGCTCCATCTGTCAAACGGATATCATGAGATACGCCTCAGAAGCTCATTGTCGAGAATGATGCACAGGGATCTACATGCTTTCTGCTATCACCAGGGTGGTGCAAGTCCTTCTGCGCTCAATGAACAGGGGAAATTTGCAGGCATATTTACACATATTTTGGAACAGAGCTCCGCAGAATCGTTCTGCAATATGTGCGAGAGTAGCAAAATGCAAAGCGAATAGGTGGGTGTATTATCATGGAGAATATTGGAGCTTGCTCTGGAAGCAATGCAAGTGCCGGCAGGAAGGATAAGAACGTTTACGCTTGGGTTTGTTAAAATTGATGTCTTGTTAATTGCGTCTCTGCATATACCGATTTAAAATTTTGAGTATAGCAACAAGGTAGTAGGAGATTAATGGAAGCCTATGTAGGGATCGGAGGACGTTTCAATCTGCAGGAGCCGGATGGTGCGGGAGCATAAACCCCAGTAAAACGAAATGAGTGAGGAAATTGCTTGTTTTGCTTGCTTCTTCTGATGTCTTATCAAAAACATTATAGGCACCAAAGTTCCGTCGCAAAGTTTTAAGATGAGAGTGTCCTCTGGTTTGTGATCTTCCGAGCATAGTGCTGTATGGTAGTAGGGTTGCAATCAATTTAACGTGTTAGGAGTAGCAAAATTCTGCGTTCAAAAGTACGATTAAACGACATTGACTCATTTTGGCCGTCTCCCCAGAATCTTTCTCCCTAAAATCATACATCTAGACAAACTCGCTGTAGAACCATCACTGGCTTGAATTATACGGCATTGTTTTTATTTTGTAATCGAGTTCACAAATGTCAAGTCTCTCAACGCTGTAGCAGTTTTCGAAGAAATAAGTTGACATCAAATCACAACGTGAAATGCCAGATTATGTCAGCGAGCAGTAGTGAGGGGTGTGAAAGGCTTTATTTCATTTCATGCGACTAGCAGACTACGTTTAATCTCTCCGCCTTTCTTCGACTCTAAGAAGTTTTAGACCAAGCCTTCGCTAAGCTCAGCCATGGCACGACACGGAGTTGCAAAATGAAGGGCAGGGGGGATGAGACTAGGCTGATAGCTACCACAGAAAAGAAATGGCCATGGTCAGATGGGAGGCAATGGACCCCACAGTCAGCGGAGACTTTCGCGGCTTCCCACAATTCCAAATTGCGCCACATCCGCAAGCAGGTGCATTTCTCTCGAGGTAAGTATCGCACTGCGCAGATAATTTTTTCCCAGACATCAATGATCTAGTTGAATCACTCGAGGGCGGATACTTGTACTCCTTTGGATTGCCCTTGAAAGGCTGAATGTCACGACATCCTGATGCTTTGGTTCTGATTCCGGTTCGTCTCACACTATCGCAAGCGGGAAGGCTATCGAGACAACAGTGGCGCCAAGACCCACTCGTGACGATGTTACATGAATTAGCCGTGATTTAACCCAAGACCAGCGACCAAACATTCGTCTGGTTTACCACAACATGACAGAATTCTTTTGTGAGCGCACAGGAGGGTTAGGGTAAGTTCAAAGGATTCGTCCTGTTGCTCATGAGTCGCATGGTGTGCTATTTGTGGTATAGAACTGGTGGAGACATCCACGTGGTAGCAGCCTCGAGAAATTAGGAGAATATTCGGCTGGGGATTGCATCGAAGGGATTTTCTGCATTCCATCCCCAAATGTCAGAATGATGCCGCTTGGTAAGAGATAGCATTCAGTGGCTTGCACTTGGTCAATTCCAGCAGTGAGCATCTTTCTGTGGAACATGGAACTGGCCTCGGGTTTGTCCGTTTGTCGATTTGAAACGGGATGGCTGGTGGGGCGGGATGTAAGAAGAGGGAGGGAGTTGCAGAGGAAATTCATATTCTAGAACTGCACTGAAACGAGCCCTCTGTGAAGCGAGGATTTGACGCTTTGACTTGGCAAGGCTAGCATGGCTTCCGGAGGAGGTTTGCCACGACGAAGAAGGCTCTTGGCTATGGTGGGTGCCCATGTCGTCAGCTCACTCGAATGACGGGAACGGAGGTTGTCAGTGAGGAGCTTCTTTGTCCTCGTTCGAGCAACGTGTAGCCGTCGGCTTGTTGGATGAGTTCGCGTACAATCGGCTGTCCTCGTGTTACGATTCGTAAGTGTAGTCAATGACGATGGCCGAAGCGATTGTGGGTGGAGATGGTGATGATGTTGCATTATGAGCTTCTATGGTGTGATTGACTGAGGAGATGTGGGGAAGCCTTTAGTTGGCAGGTCAGGGTTTTGGGATTAGGGAGGGAGAGGAGTCTAGGGTTATGGAAGATGGTGATGATGGAGCGGGGGTTGGGGAGGAGAGTGAGAAGAGTGTTTGTGTAGCACTCTTGTGATAATGCTCGTGGGGCATCATTTGAGGGTTTCTGTATTTGCTTCTAGTTTTTGTGTGAACGTGAGGATTCTGAGGAACCAGATTTACACTGGATTTGCGAAGGGCGATGCCAGTCAGAGTTTAGCGTGTAATGAGGCGTTGCAATTGATAATTTATCGCTTGATTGAGGCGATGGCTAAACATCGTGAGAAAGTGACGATTACGGAACCGGTTCATGCGACGGTAGCTTTGGGGAAATTGAACTTTGGCAGCAAATCATTCCATCAAAGATTGCCATTTTTCACTGGGCACAAGACCAAAACGATTCCACTGGGAGTCAATTTCACTGGGCCTGAGAATCAAGATGCGGCAGAGACGAAGAAAGCTGAGCAGAAGGTGAAATCCAGGTCGTTGGAGAGCAGTCCTGAAAAGGACACTCCTCCGTCTAGGACCAAGATTGACGCAGGCAGTGCGGGGAGTGCCAGCTACCATTGGTTGAGGAAACAGAAAATTGCTGGTTCGACTACGCCGAGGGCTAACAGCATGGAGCATCAACCAATAGTCAAACCTAAGAAGATCAAGTTCCCTGACATGAAAAGATCCGCATCATGGGCGCACTTCGTTGAGCTTTCGCAAGCGGAAGCACGGCATCTTGAAATGGAGGTACCAGATCAATACGTCTGCGACATGTCGTCGCTCTTCTTGGGGCAGCGATTCGCCTCAGGCAATCACAGTCGACTCTACCAAGGCGTTTATAAGGACCAAGACGTAGCCGTAAAGCTTCTTAGACTCGATAGCTGCGAGGATGCTGCAACTGCCGCCAGGTTGGAGCGCCAATTCATGCAAGAGGTTCATTGTCTCTCCCAGTTCCATCATCCCAACATCGTAGAATTCGTAGCCGCGTCTTGGAAACCCCCAGTGTGCTGTGTTATCATGGAGTATGTCCCAGGCGGCTCCCTGAGAGCATTTCTTCATAAGTACGAGTCCGAATCATTGCCATTGAAAACGATACTATCAATGGCATTGGACGTTGCTTTAGGGATGGAGTATTTGCATTCCCAAGGCGTAGTCCATCGAGACCTCAAATCAGAGAACCTCGTACTTACCGAGGAACTTCACCTCAAATTAACAGATTTTGGAGTGGGGTGCTTGGAAACCGAGTGTGATCTTCGAAGTTCTGATACAGGGACGTACCGCTGGATGGCTCCTGAAATGATTAGTCACAAGCACTACTCGAAGAAGGTGGACGTGTACAGCTTTGGGATAGTATTGTGGGAGCTCGTCACTAGGCTGGTGCCTTATCAGGATATGACCCCTGTGCAGGTTGCGTATGCTGTGGTGAACAAGAATTTAAGACCAACTATTCCTGATGATTGTCCCACAGAGTTAGCGGATTTGATGGAGCAGTGCTGGAAGGATAATCCTGAGCGACGTCCGAACTTCTACCAAATTGTACAAATTCTCGAAGACGTGGAGATGTCGTTGCCTGAGGACCCTCAGCCCCAGCATCATCGTTACTCAAGTTCAGCACTATTTGGGTGAGATACGTATTTGGGTTTTAGCATTGTTTCGTAAGATCGACTTTGGAGCAATATTACTCTTAGTTTACAGACTGTACTTCCATTCTTTGTAATAACATCTCTCATCTAGATAGCTTGCACAGAAAAACTATGAAAGATTGCTCTACATATCGGATGATCACCCCGAGAATGATCCGGAAAACCTTTTGAAGAGTTTTATCCATGCATTGTATTTGCTGCTGGAAAACAGCTGTGTTTGCATTTGATATTTCAATGTGGTGCCGACTTCGGTTTTTGGTGCACCATGAATTCTGTGCCTAAATAGTGACGGTGTAGCTTGATCTACTAATGCGATATTTTCTCAGTTTGGCTGCACATCTCAAAATATATTTCTCTGAAATATATGCAATCGTTGCGTTGGTCAGCGATTTCTGCAGTCAATTAATTTAGAAAATCATACACTAAATCTCATCAACAGTGCTTCATACTGCAGCCTGTAATTGAAACGTAAAAAGCACGGGTACGTAATGTGACAGTTAATCTTACATAAACTGGAAACATCTCTTGATTTGTGACGTAGAAGACGAGCTTCCCCCATCCTTCTTGATACTAATTTTGATAAAAAAAAAAATTGGTAGTATCATGTGATAGCGTCCAGAGTAAACTGCTCTAGCTGGGAACCATTCAGGAGACACCGTACCATCGAGAACAGGGATTTGGAAGGTGAATATGCCTCCTTATCACTAAAGTGGATTTAGGCTCGACTTTTCTCGCTACTGCCAATGGTAGTGGTCAATGCTCTACTTCGTCAGGAACCTGAGAGAGATTCTTTGTGCTACTTTAACACCCAGAGTTGAACCTTTTCACTGGCGCCAAGTGCACAATGTACATGCCGTCGCCCTGGTAGCAAATATGAACAAAAACTCAACAAGTTGGACGTTGACTTTTCGAATCACTGTCAGTGACTCTTAACCATATTTGATTCCTGATTCCTGATTCCTTCTAATTTCATCATGATAATGTAATCTGTCATTGGATCACTCAAGATCTATGGCACGTAATTCTTTATTGGTACATGCATCGAACGATTTTTCAGTGAATTGTATGATGTGAACCTTGTCGTTGATCATACTCGCAGTAAACGTGGCAGTTTGAAGACTTGGTGAAGTGTACATGGCAAAATATCAATCTTATCTCTGTCATGAAAGTCAGTCTACATTCTGCCTCAGGTCGACACAGACGGTAGTCGAAAATGAATCAGAAATTCACGGATGAGATGTAGGAAAATCCTCGAATTGTCGTTCTAATTGAATAGCTTTTAGCTGTAATTGTCTTCTCTAATTTTGGATGTTATAGTAGGTCTTCGGTTGGCGAGGATTTTTGATGAAGTGCGACCCCGTTTCAATTGAACAGCAACCCAACCCCCAGCGGCTACTTCTTTTGCTCAGGAAATTTCTTACTTGCTAACTTCTTGAAAGCTATGTTGGCTTCCTTGAGTGCTTCAACAATTGGAGGCTGTGTGGCATTCTCGCCTCCAAGCTCCTTGTTCCGCTTCACGATCATGTCTGTGACGTTACCCAGTTTTCCCAACACCATTTTCAGATTTGAAGTAATGACGTCTTTCATTGCGGAGTCCACGAAAGACCTCTTGCTCCCTTTTGTCGGATACTTGGATGGTCTCCTGACGGGTTTTGGGTTTTCAGCATCAAAATCGGACGACGACGCTTTGTCAGACATTCTCAATTCAAAAATTTGAGGAGCTCCAACAAATGACCCAGCACTCAGTTTCTGCGCATTGAATCACGAAATTGATGTTGGGGTGCGACTGTTCAACAACTACCTATTGGCTAAATTGGAATAGAACCGCTCCATTTTCGAGCATTGAATAACTTCCCTAGATTTTTGGAAAACACCCAATTAACAACACCAATCAGTGTGGATGGAGAATTCAATCCACTGAATTCCGTGCATGGAAAATCCCTAATTGCGGCTAAGCTCGCGTTGCGGTAGTAGGAGTCGGTTGCAAGAATCTTGCTGCTGAATCCTATCACCGTGAGGATTGATGAACGTCACTTGGAACTAGGGTAGGTGTGGAGTATCTTACTACCGTTTTTGAAAGACCAGGTTGTGAAGCGAGGGAATGAATTTTAAAGCGTTAAAAGCTTGTTAGTTATTTCACGAGTACGTGTGTTCGTTTCAGGTATAGTGAATTCGATTCTTAATCTCTTTGCATTCCACAATATCTCTTGCTACATTTGTTTTCGTTTAAAATGCAGGTGTTTTATTTTGTTTTTGTTTTTGGCCGAGTACGGTTTTTTTTGTGATGTGCGACACATTTTGAGCTCTGAGTTCTTGGTCCTAGGAGGAAGTTATGGGTAGGGTCAGTGTAGGCATTTAATTCGGTGTTTTTGTGCTGTATATGAGGTCGAATGTAGCTTTGGTTTATGGGTTATTGTCGAATAGAGGTTAGTTTGAGTACCTTGTGGTGTTAGGGTTTGTGTGACTTTGTCGAAGGGGTGTTGGATCAAATTGCGACTTGTTAGAAATTTTACACTTGCGTGCTCTTTCCTGGTTTGCTTTCGGAATTGTGAGCAAGACATTGGAATGCAATTGGAAAAGACTTGTTACGTTTTGCATTAACTAGTTCTTGGCCACACCAGTCTGTTCTTAGTCTCCTCGAAGTCCTGTGGACGGTGTACGGTGACTTTTCTCAGTTTGATACGGCATTCTCTGTAAACCTTTTAGGTTCTAATGAACTGAATTATGCTTAGTATTGCTATGGCTTATTGTTGGAGGGAGAATCAAGCACATGTAACGCAGGTGCGGCGTATGGCCTGTAATGCCTCATGCACAGGATAGAGAATTTACCCTGGGATTTTAAAGTGATTTAATAAACATCTACTCTGTGAACATTTTCGTAGATTGCTTTCCAATTTTACTTTGACTTTCAAATTGAAAAACTCAGATAAGAGTGGCTTTGTCTGGCCCCTCTGTCTAGATCAAGGAGAAGGATGGTGGAGTGGTGGTGGGGAGTTGTAGGGACGGTAGTCCCTGCATTAGTGGTTCGTCAGGCGATCAAGACGTCCCGTAACCGTGAAGAAGCGCAGCTTCAGGGAAGAGACAACAAAGGGTCCACGGATCAGTTTGTGTGTGAACGCGTTTGCACGTCGAAGAGAATGCTTAGTAGGGTTGGAGCTTTCTCCAAAGATCCCACACCAGATACTTGTGTCACAGTCTGCGGGGTCAGCGAGGTGGATGCTTGCTCCGAAGCTTGTGTCCGCTCTGTCTGTGCGAATGCACACCATGTTCCTAACTGGAATGACATCTGCCTGCGTCGGTGTCAAACTCAGTGTATTAAGGCAAGTGCTTGACCACAGCTTTATGATAGATTTCTGATGGTGATGTCAGAATTTACTTTCAAGGGGGCGGGTATAGCAACGGAGACAAATTGATTACCAGATTAGTGAAAATTTCTTATGAATGCTATGTCGGTTGCTGACAAAACTGGCCTACGGCCACTCTCACATAAATACTATCTACACGTTAGATTTACTACCTACTTGCTCCGAGTTGACAGAGTTTTGTTTTTCCAAAAAATTGAAAATTATCTGGAATGTCGCTTTCGATTTGTATTGAGAATCGAAGCTAGAGTTCAAGAACTTATGGGAAAAGGAACATGTGCACTGGTCGTTGAGCATTGCAGTAAACTTTCCACATTTGCCTCGGGATTTGTATATTAATTATATCCTCTTAATATCGCTTCGTGTAGAATTATTCGATTAACATTTAGCAGTCGTAATTTGGCAGCACTGTATCCACATGCACATTGTAAGATCTATGGATACCATCTTATGACGGAATGATTTGTGTTTCGCAGGACTCTGACCAGCGCACGGCCATGGCCAGGAGAGCAGGAAAATTGGCTTAGTTTCTGCGGCCTGTAGTTGAGTTTCGAAGCTCCCTTCCAGCAGGATGTCTGAAAACAAGGGTTTTGCACTTGTGACGATCCTCGTGAACACACCACTATTTTTTGACCTGCAGTTGGCCGTATGAGTGCCCGAACATTCTCATTCTGTGGCATGTTGGTTCACTCATGCCTCAATGTAACCTAGGCAAGCTTCCAATTTCATTGATTTAGCAGTTTTGAATAGCTACCTATGTCATATGGCATCATGTATTTCGTAGGTCTCTGCTTTGCAGCTTAATAGATCATCTGTAACCGAGATCAACATGCCTTCTCAACGTGTCTTGATTTTGAAGAACTCAAATTTCTGAAGCTTTCATTTGGACTCTTGGTACCTTGGCTGATAACGAAGTTGGATGGATGTGGTAAGCTTAATTGATTTCATCAGCGGCGAGTCCATACTGAGATCTTGAAACCATCCATTCTTGCCTTTTATGTACATGTAGTTTTGCTTAATTTTTCTATATTTATGTACGTATTTTATTTTGTTGTCTTTATATTTATGTTAACTATATTATTTGCACATGAATGTGGGAGAACAAACAATTCCCAGTGGGTAGGTACTGAAAACTAACACACTAATTGGAGGTGCAAAAGATGGTGCTTTTATCCATTCGAGCCCAAGGTGTTCAACATGCTATCTGCTTGAATATGTGCAGAACTTTTCTTTTGAAACATATTACCATTAATATCTCGTTAAAAGAACATTTTGTCAGTCTTTTTCTTCCATGGTCATGTGTTCAATTTAGTTTAACTGCTGTTTTACAATAAAACTTAACCATCTTATTGTAACAATTGTGTGTATGTTTTATTTTTATTTTTATTTTTAAGGCAACAATTTATTTTTGCATAATTCTGATTTTATTAGAAGCTTGCTCCCAACAATAGTATATTACAACTACAAAAATTACAAGCTATTATAAAAAAATATTAGAAAGATTTTTTTTGGCTATTGTAAATGGCATTATTTATGCATGGTGTGAGCTAAAATATACCTCTATTAGTTAGAAGTTTATTCTAGTTCACAACAAGCAAATTAATTATAAAAACCTTATATTATTTAGTTCTTATTTAAATCTTAGTTAAATTATTCATTCCCTTTTTAAAAGAAAATCAATGTTATCAAGCATGTTAATAATTTATTTAGTAAATTCCATGTAATAAAAAAATTCTTAATAAGATGATTATATATATATATATATATATATATATAATATTTTAACTTCTATTTAATTAAAATTCATCCATTGACAAGATTTCATTGTTGAATAATATTTCATCTACATATCTCATCTATATTTAAAAATTCATCCTTCATTATAACTTCATCCAATTTAACTCGTTTAAAATCGACTTGATATAAGATTGGTGCAGAAATAAAGGTTGTCTTCAAAGTTTCAAATGTTGCTTCTACTTCTTGTTTCCATTGAAGTTTGGTTTTATAAATCAAACTTGTAAGTGGAGCTGCAACTTGAGAGAAGTTTTTGATGAAGATCCGGTAGTAGTTAGCAAATCTCAAAAAATATTGAACATCTCTTACCATTTTTGAGATCTTCCAATTCATAATAATTTGAACTTTCTTAGGATTTATCATAAATCTATCATTTAAAATGATGTATCCTAAGAAGTCAACTTAAGTAGTGTGGAATACATATTTTTCTATCTTGGCATAGAATCCCACATCTCTTAGTTTTTGTAACACATGACAAATATGAAGTTCATGTTTTTTTGTATTTTTAGAATAGATTAAAATATTGTCTAGATAACAAATAACAAAGTCATCTAAAAACTCTCAAAAAACATCATTCATTAGATGAAATTGTTTGGACTTATAAATGCATCAATAGCTTTTCAACATTAGATGAAACTGTCAATTGAATAGTCATAAGAACAATGTTTTGGAAGAATATCCACATTCTTCTTCTCAAATACATCTTGAAAATCTTGATATTGACTTGGAATTCTACTTGAAGTCTTTCCACCATTAAAAACATGTGCAGCATGAATGATACAAGATAATCATTCTTTTGCATTATGCAAGAAAATTCTTGCGTCTATAAATACAAGTTTAATTGCACTTAACTTATGACTTTTTAGTTCAAAACTTATGACTTTTTAGTTCAATGCGAGAAATCCAATCTATTTTTGAACTATTTTTTTTAGCCATGATAAACCTAAAATGATTGAATTAGAGGGAGATCTAATGATATTAAATATTACAAAGCTACTATAACCATTAATTGTTACTTTTATAAGAAAAGTTTCATGAGTAATATTTTTTAAAGACAATAGACAACTATCTATGACTTCTACATGAACAAATTTAGTTTTTTTCACTAAAGATATGCTATGATTTTTAGAAAATTCTTCATCTAAGAAATACACTAAGGTTCTTAAATCTAATAAGGTAGAGGCTTTATAATATTTTGGTCCTAAAATAATATTTATTATAAAACAAAGAGAAGATTCTCAAGAGAGAATATGACCCTCAGTAGGTATTGTATAAGGTTTTACTTGCATAATCCCTATTGTAGTTGGATAAACTCGTTTTTCTACATACTATCTTCTTTGACAGCCATACACCCCATTTTGTAGTTATGTTGCTTCTTTAGACAATGTTGAGCAGTGTGCTTCAGTTTTCCACAATAAAAATACAATCCTTCTTAACAATGACGAGTCTTTTCTTTCTCAATAAGAAATTTGAAACATACTGCATCAATTTTTATATCTTTTACTTCCAAATATAAATGTTGAAAAGATATTGGCGTTGTTATTAAATTATAGTAATGTTGAGATGCACTTATGTGATTCTTAGATCAAAATTTAAAAAGTTGATCGTCACACCTCATAGCAAAATCAATTGCTTGACTCAATGTTTGAGCATCAAGTAATTTGAACATTAATTTTTTTATCTCATATTATAATCAATAGAAAAATTGGCTAACAAGTACAACATCATCCTCTTTGATATCAATTGTAAGTTGTTAAAACTATGAAAGATATAACATTATTAATCAACTATCTTGTCACAAAATATGGATTGTATCAGTTGCAATACAAATTGTATCATGTTTTCCATATATGGATTGAAACTCTACCAAAAAAACTTCCAAATTATCTAATATTAGATCTCATCATTCAAAAAGGGATAAAAATTATAATAATGTTGAACTTAGAAAAAAATGTATTAATAAATTTAACTTGCAATCTTGGAATTGGATAGCTTTGGAATTAAAGTTCAATTATAAGTTGTATTTGATTGATAAATCCTTGTAATTTGGATCTTGAGCCATCAAACTTTTCAAGTAATGTAATTCTTGATTCTCCAATACTGGAAGAATGTTTTACTATAAGAAAAAGGACTTGATATGGTGCGAATGTTGAAGCAGCTTCAATCATCTTTATATCGTTGCTTCTTATCATTCTTGTTTCTTTTTATTGTAGTATATTGAATTCATTCATGGCAAGCATTAACTCTTTCAATTGCTCTTACATTTGTACCATTGCATTCTTCATTTCAAAAAGCTCTACTATGATAATAATCAAAGAAAGGAAGATGTTTAATATTGCTCAAGTCAAATAGAAGAAAAAACTTGAAAAAAAAGTTAAAATACTAAAGACAATATTAATTTAGAAGAAGATATTCTTCAACTCCTAATATGCTTAAGTCTTATCAAGAAAAAGAGATAATCTATTTTTACTTAAAAAAAGATAATGCTTTGATATTGTAAGTGCACTCTTCTCAATCTATCAAGGATAAGAATTGGATGAAAACAAATAAATAAGCAAGACTCTTTCAAAGAAATATGACAAAAAAAAAAAAAAAAATTATATATATTAAAAGAGAAATTGAAATGACTATTGCCAAAAGACAAGAAAACTAAAGATTCTTGAAACTAAACTAAAAGTAAGAAAGGAATTGATAAGAATGAAGAAGGCTTCATTCTTGCCTCTATATATATTATCTACCTAAGATCTATGTAGCGAAGTTCAATAGGACCTCCAAAAACATTTTGACTTTGTATATCATATATCTGAACTTGAAAGGTAAGCTTTTTATATAGATGTTGTCATATAGTAATATAACTATATAGTGAAAAATAAAAATATGAGTGTTATTATAGAAGAACTTCATAGAAAGATGTAATAAAAAAACAAAGATAAATAGTAGGAAGGTAATAAAAGGTTTAGTCTTAATATTGCCTTTTAGAAAAGAGGCTTCTATTTATTTTGTAGGGATATAAATGCCTCAAATCCAAGTAAATAAAATAAGTAATTGATATAATCATGTTTAGAAAGGAATTATCAATAGGTTCAAGTAAAAATTACCTCAAATTATCAAATATTGATACCCAGAGAAGACCAGTTGTCAACTTAGGTTGAAATCAAACCGCAAGGGATAAAACCATGCACCAATGGCGACTTTGGGATTCTTTGGTAGATTAGAGAGTGAAATTTGAGAGCAATCTTGCAAAGAAATTTTTGAGCATTTATTTTATGTCAATCAAGTTAATATTTAGTTTTTGAAGGATTTTCAAAGTTAATTATATTTTTGATTACATTAGATTTTAAAAAATAAATTTATGTTTACAAAATCAAAAATCTCTTGAATTTTATAATATGTATATAGATTAATTTTGATTAAATTTTTGGTATACTAGTTATAAATGTGTATAAATTTTGAAGTCCATTGAATAGTTAGATTGAAGAATGTAAAGATTTTTGTGAATTGAAGTCTCAAAAATTAGAGTTTGAGGATTAATGAGTATTTTTAAGATCTTTAGCAATCTATCCATAAAGAATGACTTTCAACTAATAAAAATGAAATCTTCTATCAATCATTTTATCTACCCATATAAAATGGCCTAAGAGTCAAAATATTATACTTTTGACTCCAAAGCCCCTCAAAACTTCTTATTAATAAATCCTACAATTTCTATCATTAATTACAAAAATTAAAACTATAAAATTAAATAAATTAGATAAATATTTTATTATATTTATTTTTTATTTTTTATTTTATTTTATTTTTAATTACAATCCATTTTTTTTATATTTTATATTATTTTTATATATCATATTACTTTCTACCATAATATCCACCTCCTTCAAACTTGCGCATCCTATGGCATGTGCTAATTTAACCATCCTTATCTTCTTCATTATATCCATCTATTTTTTCATCTTTCATTTATTCAAGATCTAATGTTTTAAAATTTTAAAGATTAATTAGAATAAATTCGCCATTTCTTCTCTTAAATATTGATCCACTTTTCAATCACATGTATCTTTAACATCGTACCATCCAACACACAAAGC